GAGTCAGAGGCAGGCAGATCTCTGTGAATTCAAGGCTAGCCTGGTCTACACAGTGAGTTCCAGGTCAGTTGGGATTGCTGGGAGACCCTGTCTCAAAAAGACCAAAAAAAATATCAAGAAAAGTAATACTCCTGAGTTCATTCCAAACCCTCAAGTCACACTCCTGGGAAGGTTGTGGCCAGGAAACATCCCCAAGCTTATGTGCTTTGTTCCTTAATCCCAACAACATCATTCTACTGTTTGCCAACAACTTGTCATGTGAGTGTGAGTCACCCCCATATCTGCACATCTTTAACTTTTAAAACTTTTACTTATTTAAATTATTTGTATTTTATGTGTATGAGAATTTGCCTGCACATATGTAAATGCACTATGTGCCTGCAATGCCCATGGAGGCTAGAAGAGGGCATTGGATCCCCTGGAACTGAAGTTCTAGACAGTTGTTAGCTGTCATGTGGGTGCTGGGAACTGAACTTGGGTCCTCTGCAAGAGCAGCCAGTGCTCTTAACCACTGAACCATCTTCTCTCCAGGCCCCCCTTATCCCCTGGTTTTTTTGGTTTGTTTTTGTTTTTTGGGTTTTTTTTTTGTCTTTTTGAGACAGGGTCCCCCTGTAGCCCCAGCTGTCCTGAACTCACTATGTAGACCAGGCTGGCCTTGAACTCAGATTTCTGCCCGCCTCTGCTTCCTGAGTGCTGGGATTAAAGGTGTGCGCCACCACACCCAGCTCCCCCTGGGTCTTTTAAGTGAGGAAACTGGAACTGGTATCCCTGTGGGCTGTGTGATTATGAGCTCTGAAGCTGGAGCTGCGTCAGAATCAGGGCACCCACCTCTTAGGTAGGTGTTCTCAGTGAGGTCACTGTCCCTTGGGAAGTCCACCTTGTAATCTACCTGTTGGAGCACAGCACCTTCTTATTTCTGAGGTTACTACCATGCCCTTTAAAATATATGTTCTATAATTTCTTTTGCAGACATTTCACTTTCTTTGATTGGGTGGTTTGCCTTTTTCTGCATCATTTGAGAACCTGCACCTGTTTTACTCTTGTGTTGCTGTTGTTTCGGTTTGGTTTCTGGTAGTGATGGTGGTGGAATTTTGCTGCTTTTGTTTGTTGAGGTAGGGTGTTACTACATAGCCCAGGCTGATTTATGTTGCCCATGTTAGCCTTGAACTGGCAATTTTCCTACCTCTTCCTCCTGAATTAGGAGTGCACCACCATGCCTAGCTTTCTACACGTTTGCTTTAAAAAAATTTTTTTAATTACATTTATTTGGTATGTGTGCATGTGTGAATGCAAACATACATGCACTCGCAGGCCCACAAGTCACAGCACACATGCAGAGGTCAGAGGACAACTTTCCAGGGTCTTTCTATCATATGGGTCATCCCAGGGATCAAACTCAGATCACCAGGCTTAGATGCAGCCCCCTTTACCCACTGAGCCATCTCACTGGCCCCTTTCTACACGTTTAGACAAGGAAGCAAGAGGATCACAGTTCCTAATCTATCCTGTGACTTTTTAAAAAATATTTTTTAAAAATTTTATTATTTTTGTGTATGCGCGTATTGCCTGCATGTATGTAAGTGCACCCATGTCGTGCAATGCCCGCGGAGGTCAGAAGAGGCCGTTGGATCCCCTGGGACTGAAGTTGCAGACAGTTGTTAGCTGCCATGCTGGGATTCAAACCCAGGTCTTCTGTAAGAACAACCAGTGCTCTTAACCACTGAGCCATCTCTCCAGCCCCCGTTTTATTTTTTTTATGTATATGAGTGTATTGTCTGCATGTATGTAAGTACAGTTATGTAATGCAATGCCTGTGGTGGTAAGAGGGTGTTGGATCCCCTGGAAGTGGAGTTACAGACAGCTGTTAGCTGCCATGTGGGTACTGGGAATCGAACCCAGGCTCTATGCAAGATCAGTCAGTGCTGTTAACTGCTGAGCCATTCTCTCCAGCCCCAACTACATGATTTAAAATATATGTAGATATCAAGTGGTCAAAAATACCTGAAGTTCAACAAAACTGGTTGGTCATGTGAAGTAGAAACTCACCCAGCACTGACATAGTCTCTCTGGTGCTATCTTGGAACCCATGCACACGTGCCAGAACTGAAGTCACACGTGCTTTGATTTGATTATTTTAACAGGAATTTTCCCCAAAAATTATTTGCAAAGTATTTCGCATGTATTTGAAAAATGTTTGCTGAAGCACTATTTACAACAGCAAATAGCCAGAATAAGCTAAATAGCAAAGTGGGGGACTAAATATACTGCGGATCATCTATAAAATTGACTATCCAAAATGTGAATTATAGTAACTTAACTGAAGACCTGTTGTGGAATAAGTGCCCAGGGCTGGAGAGATGGCTCAGCAGGTAAAGACTCTTACACCAAACTTGATGACCTGAGTTTGATTCCCCAGGACCCACATGGTGAAGAAGAGAATCACTCTGGCAAGATGTCTGTGCTGGATATTTTGAGTTGTCAACTTGATATACCTGGAAAGAAGGAACCTCAGGTGGGGAATTCCTCTACCACACTGGCTGTGGGTTGTATCTGTGAGGCATTTTATTGATTGCTAAGTTATGTGGGAGGGCCTAGTCCACTGTGAATGCCACCCCAGGGCAGCTGGTCCTGGGTTGTGTTAGAAAGCAGACTGAACACCAGGCATGGAGATGTTCACTTGAGAGGCAGAGGCTGGCGGATCTGTGTGAGTTCAAGGCCAGCCTGGTCGACATAGTGAGTTCCAAGACAGCTGGGGCTACAGGGAGACCCTGTCTCAAAAAGACAAAAAAAAGTTAAAAAAAATACATTTTAGAGTGTTAAAAGTTTTCAAGAAAATGAATCTGTCTTATCCTACTCCACATATCACTAGGCAATGTTTTCAACATTTTTCAAAGTACTGGGTAGTAGGCATCTGGCACTCCCCTGTACTCCCAGAGACTAGGGAGATAGACAGGATCATGAATTCAAGGCCTTGTCTCCATGAAAATAACAGTGGGCTGGAGAGATGGCTCAGTGGTTAAGAGCACTGGCAGCTCTTGCAGAGGACACTGGTTCAGTTCCCAGCACTCACATCAGGGCACTCACATCTATCTATAGCACCACAGGATCTGACACACTCTGCTGGCCTCTGTAGGTACTGCACTCAAACTAGCATAAACCCACACACATATACACATACTTACAAATAATCTTGGCTGGGCATGGACTCAGGAGGCAGAGGCAGAGGCAGAGGCAGAGGCAGAGGCAGAGGCAGAGGCAGAGGCAGGGGGATCTCTATGAGATCCAAGCCAGCTTGGACTATATAGGAAGTTCCAGGCTAGCTGGGGCTATAGGGATATCCTGAATCAAAAATCCAAATAATTATAATCTTAGGCATGGTGATGTACAACTTTAGTCCCAGGACTCAGGAGGCAGAGACAGGCAGAACTCTGTGAATTCCAGGCCAATCTCATCTTCATAGCAAATTTCAGGTCAGCCAGTTAGCTACATTGGTGAGGCTATCTCAAAACAGAAAACAAAAACAGGGCCTGGGGAAATGGCTCAGCAGTTAAGAGGACTGGCTGCCCTTGCAGAGGACTTGGTTCAATTCCCAGCACCCACATGGCAACATGGCAGCTAACAACCATCTGTAACTCCAGTTCCAAGGGAACCGAACACCTTGTGCTGAAACTCCGTGGGCATTGCATGACATAGGTGCACTTACATATACACAGGCAATAGACTCATACACATAAAATAAAACAATGTGACTGTGGTAGTCAACATGTACAGCATGCCAGAGGCCCTGGGTTCCTTCCATCTCTGGGACCAGGGAAAACAGCCCTCGCAGACTGGTGTTTGGAATACTTTTTCCATAGGTATTGCTGTTTTGGAGGCTGTGGAGTATTTTTGAGGTAGGGCCTGGCTAGAGGAAGTAGGCCACAGGGGTCAGATCTTTGAGGGCTATAGCCTGGCCCCTAGTTCTAGCCCTGTGCCCTCGGCTTTCTGGTCCACCAGGATGTAAAGGGCCTTGGGGGCATGCAGTCCCACTGCCATGCATTGAGCTCCACTAGGCTTCCTGTGCTGTGATGAACTGAGTCCTGAGCCAAAACAAATCTCTCTTCTCATGCTGGTTAGGCATTGTCATAATGACATATAAAGGTAACACGAACAATCCTTCTCAGGCCAAAAGGACCACCTATATAAAGCAAAAGTGCTTCCTGGGCAAGAAAACTTGCCCTGAAGCCCTTTAAAAACAACAAAAAAAAATCTCTTATCTAGAGCGCAAGCACGGAGGTGAGGTCAGAGGATAGCTTGTGGGTGTCAGCTCTCTCCTTCCACCACATGGGTCCCGGGAAACATACTCAAGTTGTCAGACAGCAGCAGGCATCTTGATCCACTGAACCATTTTGCCAGCCCTTATTTCTTTTTATTTATTTTACTTTTTTTCAGACACAGTCTCACTCTGTAGCCCTAACTGGCCTGGAACTTGCTATGTAGACTAGGCTGGCCTTAAATTCACAGATATGTACCTGTCTCTGCCTCCTGAGTACTGGGACTGAAGGTCTGCACTTAATTTTTCTGTAGCCAAGGTTGACCTGGAACTGTGTAGCCCAGGCTAGGCTCCCAAGTGCTGGGATTACAGACATAATCTACCACACCCAGCTCAACATGAAGCCTTGAGAGTTTTTAAAAACCATGCATGAGCCGGGCATGGTGGTACATGCCTGTAATCCCAGCACTCAGGAGGCAGAGGCAGGCAGATCTTTGAGAGTTCGAGGCCAGCCTGGTCTATATAGTGAGTTCTACTGGGAGACCCTGTCTCAAAAAGACCGAAAAAAAAAAAAAAAAAAAAAAAAACCCACGCATGAACACTGCTCTGCTCTCTTTTACGGAACCTGGACAAGTGGGTGGCAGAAGCCTCTATGGCCAGTGGATGGAATCCCGATGCTGCAGCCCTCAGAGGCCTTTGGATTTCCCCATTTACGAAACCCAGACTCAATAAGGAAAATAGCCAAACATCTGGATCTGATGCTTTATTACTATTATTTGAGATTAGCAAACAGAATTAATACAACATTGAGCAACTCCAGATTAGCGTTCCTTACATTGATGAGAAGCAGCTGACTTAGCAGGCACTGATTTAGACTCCTGACAACTCTCACCCAGTTCTGCAGTGGGTCAGGCCTCAGCACAACAGAGTGACGTCCCTATTGCTTTTCCCAGCCCTGCTCTTTAAAGGGGCCACAGGACACAGATGTCTGGCCACCTGATTGAGCTGCCATGGTCTTAGCCCAGATGCAAGCCTTGGGTTGCCTTGTGGGAGATGGGACCCTAAAAAACACACCTCAGAAGATACAGCCACTGTGCAGGGCTCTGAACTCAGAACAGAGGCAGGAGTCACGAAACCTGTTCCTTATTTTTAAACCACCTTAAACACCTCTATACTTTGCCCTCTTTCTGTACACCTGGTCTTTTTACCTGGATTTTTTCCTTCAGAGTTGCTACTCTTTTATTAACAACATAATGAGTCCACCAACCACTAAACATCCCCTCTAGATGGAGATTAATTCAATCAAAATGTAACCTGGGACATATATCTAGAATCTTAAGGATAAGCAGAAGAGTCACCCTAAACCACTACCCTAACAGCTCAGGACCCGTGTGGGGAGGGTGGGAACGAGGAGGAATGACATGCATTGTTGAACCTGACAACACTGCGGGGTCCCCAGGACCGTGCAGGCACCATGGCCCCTACTTCCCAGACAGCTGCTCATACAGCTTGGGAACGTAGTCGTCCCACTCAGCCTGGTAACACGTGCCTGCCACTGGGGCTCCAAGGTGGTACTTCTTGCGAAACGACGCCACCTTGAACTTGCCACGGTGGTCTCCAGACCGGTTGCTGAGAACAGGCTCATCGCACTTCAGCGGCTTGTCCTGCTCGTACACCAGCCAGACATAGCGATGGAGGCCTGGGGGAAAGGTAGAAGGGAGGTGAGGGGAGGGGGGCTGCTAGGATGCAGAAAAAGCCCATTTCCATCAAAAGTTTCAATTGGGAGGGACCCAGATCTCCAAGTCCACCAAGAGGACACCAAGGGCTGCAGAGGTAGACTGCACATGGTCAGTCACTACTGGACACAAACAGTGCAAGGCAGCTTCCACTTCCCCAGCCTCTGATGGCTAAGGTTGCAAGCCTTTGTCAATGAGGAGTCTCATCCTCAACCCTTTCTCTGCTAGGCCACTCCACACTTCCTGCCCACTTCAAGTCCTTCCCACCAGTCCCATCAGAGTGCCCATCTCACTACTGCCAAGGGGACACCAGATGGTGCTGCCATCTAAAATTTTTATTTTGTGGGCTGGTGAGATAGCTCAGTAAGTAAGGGTGCTAGCCACCAAGTCTGACCTGAGTTCAATATCCGGGACCCACACAGTAGAAGTTAAAAACTGACTCCTGCAAGTTATCCTCATCTCGGAAGTTTTAAAAAGGGCTGAGGGTGCAGCTTAGTGATAGAGTGCTCACCTAGCATGCGCAACACCCCACAGCTGATCCCTAACCAAAGACAAACCTGGTGGCACTATCCCAGGAAGACTGCTTTGAGTTCAAGGACAGTCAGGGATATATAACAAGACTGTGCCTCAAACACATACAAGAAGGGAAGGGGGGGAAGGGGGAAGAAGGAGGGGAGAGGAGGAGAGGAGGGGAATTAAGAGCAAGATTTGGGGCTGGGACCTGGCTCAGCTGGTACTCTCTTGCCTAGTACACATATCCCTGGGTTGGATCCACAGCACTGCATAAAACCCCAGCACTTGGAAGGTAGAGCAAGATGATCAGGAGTTTAAGGTCCTCCTCAACTACATAGCAAGTTTGAAGCCAGCCTAGGATATATGAGACCCTGCCTGAAAACTGCATGTTTTTGTTAGTTTAAAAAGTGATTCGCGGGGCTGGAGCAATGGCACAGTGGTTAAGAACATTGGCTGTTCTTGCAGAAGACCCGTGTTCGAATCCCAGCACCCACATGGCAGCTAACAACTGTCCGTAACTCCAGTTCCAGGGGATCTGACAGCCTCTTCTGTCCTCCATGGGCATTGTATGACATGGTGTACTTACCTACATGCAGGTAATACATGTATACACATAAATAAAAATAATAAAATATATTTTTTTAAAAAAGTGATTTGCACATATGTCAGTAAGGACAGAAGCAGTCATCACCCAGCAGAGCACTGACTGGGCCAGGAAGCCACAAAGTGCCCCCTTCACACACACACTGGATGCTGTAGCTCAAAAGCACCAACGATCTGGGCAGGAAGCTGTGAGGAGTTCATGTGGATCCACAGAAACATTCACATGTGCTGGTCAGTACGTGAAAGCTCTGTCATGAGAACTCTAGGATGATTTCTAAGACTATGATGTCCACCTTCATGCCATGGAATAACTGTAGACACACAGCCACTTTATTCATAAGACCCCACATCCTGGCCATAGTCCAGCACCACCAGGAGAAAGAATGAAGCAACCGAGGCAGAGGGTCCAGGGAACACTGAAGAACAAAAGGAGATGGAAAACTGTCCCAGAGATATGACGGTGACTGTGACAGTCACCAAATGAAACCCGCTGCACACCTGTCCATAGGAATAGACAAGTGGCTTATGAGAACAGATGTTGGAAGCTGGTGAGCTTGAGGGGGCCGCCAGCAAAAGCCCTTCACCTTTAAAACCCTTCTGGGTGGTGGGAATGGCCCCATGTTTCTGAAGTGTTTACATTATGTGCCCTGGTCAAATTCCCTGCCTGAACCTTACAGCCTGCGCATTTATTCTCTGAACCTTAGACATCTGAAACCCATGTGAGCTGCTACGGCTTTTTCTTCAAACGAGAACACAGCTCCTACTCCAGAGAATTGCTCCATTCCCCGGTGTAGTCTGTCTCTAATTAAATTGCCTGATTTGATAACTGCCCAGGAGAGCTTAATAGATTCCTGGGAAACCTGTCCCTTTACCCTCCCTGCTGTGAATGATAAGAGGCCTTCAAACCATCTGGAAGCTTCTGGGTCTATTCATACAACCTGAGCCCATGAGTGACAGTCCTTATTGGGAACTCTGTGTTGCCCTTGGTACTAGCTCACTCTCTGCAGGACGCATGCACAAAAGCTCAAGTTGTGTCATGCATCATCCACCACTATGGTCTTGTTCCAGCAAATGAGAACATCTTGCAATGAGGAGCGGGCGGTAACTGTGCACCTCCCACTAGCTCAGGGGAACCTTATGTAACAACAGAGAGTTTCAATGTAGGATTCTTTCTTACCTACATAAACTTTCCATGTGAACATACAATGCAGAGTGTGTATCTTCAATATGGGTCACCACAGTCTTCCAAATCTTTTCAAAATACCTAACCATATTTTGAGGAAAAAGGGGGGGGGCTATAAAGAGATATCAATCTTTTTTGGAATGAATATAGAAAGAGTGATCACTTCTTATTTACAGGAATCAGAAACATACAGGGCAAATGTTGAAAGGAGGACAGAGGGGATGCAAACTGTATGCTTGCCCTATGTAGCACATCTGTGCAGTCCTACAGAAACCTGTTCTAGGCATCTTAGACTTATTAAGTCCCAGAGCACTGGGACCATAGCTCAGAGGTAGAGTTAGAAGTAGTGGTAGTGGTAGAGGTTTCCCTTGCATGCTGGGTCCCTGGGTTTGATCCTCAGACACCAAAAAATGTATGCATATATTTTTGTCTAAGAGTATCCAAGAAGCAGTTCTAAATAGAGGATCCAACCAATCAGAACCCAGCACTCCTGCAGGTCTGACTGTGTGTTGAACAAAGAGAGTAGGCTTCTGTCTCTCATAGGTAAGGTAAGGCTCTCATAAATGGAAAAGAACACAAGTTTTAAAATCCAGTTCCCTGGGGGCTGGAGAGATGGCTCAGCAGTTAAGAGCACTTGCTACTCTTGCAGAGGATCTGGGTTCAGTTTGCAGCACCCACAAGGCAGCTAACAACCACCTGTAACTCCAGTTCCAGGGGATCCAACACCTTCTTCTAGCCTCCACTGACATTGCATGACATGGGTGCACTTACATACATGCAGGCAAAACACTCATACATATAAAATTAAAAAGAAAATCCGCACTTCGGGCAGCATTCTGCGCAAATTCCAACACTGACCCAGCCTCCCTTCCCACCAATAGCAGCAAGAAGTTTTTACTGACCTGTGCCACTGGGAGGCCCAGAGCCTACATAGTCTGAGAGGATGGTTCCACTGCTGATGTCGTTGCCCTTCATGTTGACCACCAGAAAATGGTGCCACTCCCTGTACAGAAAAAGAACAAGGAATGGTTAGCACTGGAGTCAGTGCTGACGCTGCACAGCTAGGAGGAGGGCACCGGGCACATTTCTGTGCTGGGATGCCTAGATACACACCTGTGTCAGAAAGGACTCAATCCAAGCCCTCAATCAAAAACCAGGCAGGGACAGCTGATTTCCATAAAGACCCAGATTCAATGTCTGCAGTCCATACTGTCTTAGTCACAGTTACTCAGCAGATTACAGTTGGAAAACCACCACAGAGGAAGAAAAGCAAGTGAGCACATTTGTGCTCCAGGGAAACCCTGTTTACGGGGCTGAACTTTAGCACCATATAAACCCTGTGCTGCAGTGCACACCTGTAATCCCAGCACTTGGGAGATGAAGGCAGGAAGATCAGGAGTTCAAGGCCAGCCTGGGCTATATGAGACCCTTTCTTAAAAAAAAGAGAGAGAGAGAGAGATGAACTGTAGTATTCTATCAGTGTTTTCCTAATCACTTAAAAATGTACAACATTCCCAACCCATGGAACCAATACAAAAAGGGCACACCGATGGACCTGGCTACTGGCTGAGCAAAGATGCTCACTCTGGCTTAAGCTTAGGCACACACATCTCTGGGCATGTCCACATTGCCCATGTTCAGCAAGGGACTTACAGTAGGCAGTCACATCTGAATGACCATGTCTCTTTTCCCTAACTTGCCTGTATTTGGGGTCTTTCCTGCTGGGAGCATCTGGGTCTGTGAGGACCAAAGTATACAGTTTCCCCGGGTCAAGGCCATCCCAGGAGATGTTGCTGGGTCTGTTCTTAACCTGTGGGAAGGAACCAGATTGGGATTAAGAGGTCTGAAATGCTGAGACCTCAACACTTTCTTCAAACTCATACTGATCAAAGGTAAAAGAACAGGTTCTTAAAAAAATTATTAACTTATTTCTGTTAATAGTACAAATTAATAAGTTTATAGTTTCATACATGTACCCCATTTTGTCAAGTGCCTCCATTTTTGTTGAACTGTGACAATTTCCCTAACTATGGTAATTTAGTTTCCAGAACTAAAGTAACTTGTTTCTTTAGATTTTTGCCTTCCCTGTCCCATGGACCCTAAGTAACTACCATCAGGAAAGATGTTTATCAGTCACCCTATGTTCTTTGACTACCTACTGGTTACCCAGCAATGGCCAACTGCAAGACAAAAGGAAACGTTTCAACCTCCCACTCCTCTGCCCTATGACTACCCCATCTAGTAAGCAGTCTGGGGTTGATTCTTACAAACCCCCTCTCCAGGTTTTTCTCCCAAATAAAGGCCTGCACTATGATAAGTTGCCAGTTCCCCCATTTGTCTTTCCTTCTCGAACACCTTTATATACACACACAATCTCAACACACAATCTCTGTTAATAACATTAACAGAAAGAGGCGGGGCAGGATTCTAACCCTGACACTATGACTTTAGGTTTTCCACAACCTTCTTCAGTCCTGACAAACCATGTCTTTGAATCTGGTGAGCAGAAGCCTAGCTGAGGCCAGCTAATATGAAATCTGCCTTCGCTGAATATTGACAACCGTGCAGAAAATGCACAGAAGTCGGCAGGTTTGAGGGCAGTGGGGACTGGCCAGGCCTGCAAATGGGAACTTGCAACTTAACATGCAAAACCCTGTGCTCTAAATATCCCAACAGGGAACAGTTAAGAGATAGGGCCCAGAAACCCAGTTTGTTCACTGTGGGCGTAAGGACCTAAAGTTCAAAAACAAACAAGCAAACAAACAAACAAAACAAGAAAGAAAAAACGGTGAGCCGAGGCGCTGGCCCTGGAGACTGGCAGCTGCAGAGCTCGCCGAGGAGACTGTATGCTCTTGGCCCAAAACAAAAGGCGAAATCGCCGCATGGCTGAGCTCGGGTTACATAACGTGTGACCGTCGCGTGTGGCTCTGGCTTCCGCAGCTAAAACTTAGAGGCGGGGACCCGACCTGACCCGCCCC